TGGCCAATGAGATGTGAAGGGAAGTCTCCTGAGGAATTCCTGTAATGATTTTTATATTCTTAAAAAAAGAGTCACTAGGGAGGAACATTTTCTCTTTTAGTCTTTAGACATAGACATTGTGAGATGAGATGGACCCTTGAGTTGCTGCAGTCACCATGTGACCACAAGGGAACAAAAAGCCAACGTGCTGATGATAGTCAACCATGGAACTCCCCTACCTCTTAACTTCTGTATGTGACACAAGTTCCTTATTGTTTAAAAAATCTTTGACTTTAGGCTTCTAATAATTATGGCCTATAGCATCCTAACCAATTAAAGTAAGGTGCAGCATCAGCTGGCCTTGCTGTAAGTAGAAGAACGTGAAGGGAAGCAGTGGTGGGAAGCAGTGGTAGGCAGCAGCTAGAGGTATCAGGTTAACTGCTATCACAGATAAGCCCAGAACATTCAGAGCTTAATATAATGCAAAATATTTTCTGCTGCATCCCCACCCATGCACTTGACCATCAGTCCTGCCAACTTGGCTTTGAGTGGTCATTTCCAGGACCCAAGATCCTTTCTTCCTTCCTTCAGGGCCTCGGATTCCCTCCACTGAACCTTCTGCACTGCATGTTGGGCCCATTGCTACTACTTTTATTTCACTGGCAAGAAGTGATCACCTAGTCCCTCACCCAAACAAGGAAACTGGCTGGGCAGACACTGCTATTACCAACTGCACCCACCAAGGAGGGGGCAGGAACCTGTGAGGGTCAGCAGGGATCTCTGCCATAGCTGTGATGGGGAATGAGGATCTGAGCTGTGCCTCAAAAGGAACAAAATATCTTGAGGGGAAGAGAGGAAGGGACTTTCAGTAGATGGTGGTGGGCACAGTGTGTGTTAAGTGCTGATGCAAAGGAAAACCCATTGGGTTGGAGCTTGCATTCAGGGTGGAGAGGTATCTAAATTTGGGTGTAAAAGGACAAGAGTACAGAGGACCTTGAATGTGTGTCACTCTATTTTGTGTTCTCCAGAATTAATTATTTTTTTTTGTACTGGTGATTGAACTCAGGTGCTTTACCACTGAGCTACATCCCCAATCATTTTTTTTTTTTTTTGAGACAGGATCTCACTAAGTTAAAAGGTAGGCCTCAAACTTGCAATCCTCCTACCTCAGTCTCACTTGTCACTGCACCCAGCCTCCCCAGGGTTAATTTGGAACTGTTGTGCATGCTAGGCTCTCTCTGCAGGTCTATCACCACCTGCAGGAAGGGGGGTGGGAGTGGTGGTGGGGTGGTTCAGGATGAATCCCACAGTTTCCCATTGAGAGCAGGAGATAGAAATGTGTTAGGCTGACAGGGTTAAGCCCCCTCCCCCACTGCGGAGTTAGCAAATGAAATAGACAGCTCATAACCAGTGACTTCATTGGAACCTGAAGGTATGTGACAGAAGCCCTGGAGGCAAAGCAGCGCGTTATCAACACAGGTTCCCAGGTGTGATGACTGGACTCACTTCTTTGAAATCTCTAGCCTATAGTCTTCAAGGATACCAAACTGGGATTACAGGCATGCATCACCATACCTGGCTCATGTTGACTTTTAAAAAAATGTCCACATGTGAGAGAAAACATATGGTACTTGTCTTTATATCACTAACATAATATCCTCCAGTTCTATCCATTTTGATGCAGATGACAGAATTTTACTCTTTTTAACTGAAGAATACTCAATTGTGCATTGTACCACATTTTCTTTATCCATTCATTTGTTGATGGACACCTAGGCTGATTCCATCTCTTAGCTATTGTGGATAGTGCCTCAGTAAACATGGGCATGCAAGTGTCCCTGGGTGCTGATCTCCTTTCCTTTGTGTATATACCCAGGAGTAGGATAGCTAGATGTATGGGAGACCTATTTTAGTTTTTCAAGGAAACTTCATACTGTTTTCTATAGTGTTTATACTGATTTACATTCTCAACTAACGTGTATGAGTTCTTTTTTTCCTACATCCTTGCCAGCATCTCTTCTTTTTCTTCCTTCTTTTTTCTTCCTTCCTTCCCTTCCTTCTTTCTTTTTTCTTTCCCTCTCTCTCTCTCTCTTCTCCTCATAATTGCCTATCTGGAGAGAGATGGTATCCCATTATGGTTTTGATTTGCATTTCTTTGATGGCTAATGATATTGAGCATTTTTTTTAAACATTATTTGTTGGTTAGCATTTCTGAGCCTCAGTCCGGAAGGTTTTAGAAATTCCAGGCTAAGGATTCAGAGGGCGGGATTCAGTAATCTCAGAATCAGCCCTCAGAGGAACCCGCAGCTGCTGGGACAAGTGTCCTTCCTCCAGATTTCTAGGATCTGATAATACACCTCTTCTCTTTGCTCCCCCAGCCCAAAGGCTGGGGGTTGTTTCCTCTGGCTATTATTTTGGCATTACCCCCTTGTTCTCTCAGTGATTTTTTTCAGTCCTTCAACACTCATTTAGCTAATTTCCTACATTAAATTCTCTGTGACAAATTACCTATTTGGTATTGTTTTCCTGCCAGGACCCACCCTGATTATACATTGGTTATTTAACAATTTCCAATCTATTACAATCAAAAGGAGATATAAATTACAACATGAACAATAGTTCATGGAGAAAATGATGAGAGTTGCTCGTGTTAGCTAGGGCCTGATGGAGTGCGGTTCTCCCTGAGGAGGGAGATTTGCACTTAACTGAAGTGCCATTTGTTATCGTCCTTTTCTGCCATTGCTTTAAACCCAGAAGGTGGCCAGTGCGTCACCCATGGGCAAAAGTACTGCTGTGTCTGCCGATGTGTGGGTATTGTGGAGAGGATCCGAGAGGGAGGGAGGCGATGCGGAACTCCACACAGTTCAAAAGGAAACCAGAGGGCAGGCTGATCCAAAGAGTGGTGGCCACTGACTTTGGGTCTGTTTTTTAAGGTCTGGCTGTGGCAGGAGCATAGTGGATGACACATAAGTTCCCCTGAGTCTGTTTTGACACCCTGGCATTGTATTTGTTTCCAAGAGATTCAGAGGCTTATTAACTTTAATTTGCTGAATACCATTTTTTTTTGCACTTCCCCTTCATTCAGCAGTTCACTTTCTTCATTGCTGATAACTGTCAAAGATTATGCAAAGTGGATCACACAGTTTGCTCCACTTTATTTAAACAATGGTAGCCAGATCAATGCTGCTGCACTGCCTTCTATTCAAATGACAGAACTTGAGTCTATTGTTGCCTCTGATGTTTCAGTGTGGTTGGCTCTTCCTCCTCCTCCTTCTCCTACTCCTCTCTAATGCTTCTTAATAGACTTCCTTTTATGTGTTTCACATTTTTGGTCAGAAGCTTCACCATTGTCCATGACTGAAATAAGCTACAACTCTACCAGAAAACTTAAATTGAAGCCGTCTTGTTCCACATGTCAGAACTGTGACTCTGGCCGACACCCAACTCCTCATGAAGCTTGTGGAAGTCGCTGCTACTGACACTGTCATGGTAAGAAGCCTCAAGAGTTGTGTAACTAGTTTTCAGACGAACCCTGGAACCCCACTCTGGAATATTACATCTAGGGGATTTTTTGTTGTTGTACTTGAAATTGCACCCAGGGTGCTCTAACACTGAGCCACTACCGCCCCCCCCCGCCTTTTTTTTTTAGACAGAGTCTCATTAAATTGCCAAGGCTGGCCTCGAGCTTGTGATCCTCTTACCTTGGACTCCTAAGTAGCTGGGATTATAGGTGTGCACCACCATGCCCAGTGCAAATTATTTTAAAAAATAAACATGTATCATTTAAAAACAACCTTGTGTGTTTTACTAGCTCCAACTTACAGAGGAAAGGAAGCCCAACAAGCATGCTAGTTGAATGTCAGAGACATACACTGAATGTGGATCTATTTCTATTGTCTGTTCTTTCTGCCATAGCCATGCTTCTCTAGGCTTGCTTGAGTGTTGCAGTCCTGGGCCATTCAGAGACTGCTCTTTGGCTGTTGCTTCATGTGTGAAGAATGGAGAATAATCTACTTGGCTCTCCAACCCCAGGGGTGATATGAGGGGCAGCTGGATAGCTTGAATTGTGCTGAGCTCTATAGGTGCTAGAGACTGTCCCTGCAGGGATGTTGGAACAACCACTGGGTTGGTCCTCTCAAATTTGCCAGGCCAGGTCAAGTCTGTCTGGATCTGGATCCTTGCAAGTAGTGCAGATTCTGCCCTGGGATAAGATCGGATCCTGCCTGCATTTCCACAGGGGAAGCAGATGGTTTGGGGAAATCCAATTTAAAAGGAAAGAAATCCAATTAGCTCTCCAGGGGTCTGATGGTGAAGACTTGAGTGGGGACAATTACATTAGATACTCAGGCCTACAAAGCCAGCTTGATGGCAGAGGGTGGTGGGGTGGGAAATACCCTCAGGTCACTTATCCCTGGGTGGGTTTAAAGCATAGTTGAATAAAGTCCTTAGACTCTTAGATCCCTGGCTGGGACCCACGAATATGCAGCTGACTATCTCTGCCTTTGGACCTTCCCTGTTTTTCAGGCTGTTTCTGCAACTTACATAAAACCAATGAGTGCCCCATGCAGTGGCACATGCCTATAAATCTCAGCTACTCAGGAGGCTGGGGCAGGATGATCGCAGATTTGAAGCCAACCCCGGGCAACTTAGCACGACTTTGCCTCAAAATAAAATAAATGAAGAAAAGGGCTGGGGAGAAAGAAAAGGATTGAAGAAAAGCTGAGTGGTAGAGCACTTGCCTAGCAAGCACAAGGCCCTGGGCTCAATCCCTGGGCCCCACCACCTCACCAACTATCTCATTAATCAGTCCATGCCTTGATTTCTTCACTAGTAAGTAGGGAGACCACATCTTCCAATGACTTCTCATATAAATGCAGTTAAATAGTAGTTGAAAAATGTTTGAAAATTAAATAGCTCTTTAAAAAAAAAATTAAAGGAAGCAAAAACCAAAAACCAGACCAGGATATTGTCATAATCTTTTATTATGTATCAAATTGTCTGTAATATAAGTTACAACCTGATTAAATTTGATAGATATTTTTATCTATTTAAGACAAAAAAAATTCTCTTTATGTACAATATCTTTTGTCTAGAGTCTAGCAAATATAGTACCTTTCATTGCAGGATTTCTGCTTAACATACAAGCAAAAATAAACAATAACAACAAAAATATAAACCAAAGCAAACCAAACCCCCAAATCTCTCAACTACAAATGTCAACGTTGAATAAAGCATTAAAATGACAAACACAGAATAACTTTTGTTTAGAAATGCAGAATGGATACTAATGTTAGTGGCAAAAAAAAAAAAAAAAAAAACCAACCCCCCCCGCCACAATCTTTGGGGGTGGATTTTCCTGCTCAGGGATGTGAGCTGACTCTAGACCATCTCGCGGCTCCTGCGGATAGCACAGCACAAGATCATACTGAAGATCATGCCAAATATCTGGAAGACAGAAGAACAGGGTAGTTTTGTTTGAGGGAAGGCAGAGGGGCAGGGCAAGACGTGAGCCATTCAGTTTAAGACAAATGACAAGGGGAATGGTGTCTATGAAGTCAAACGAGTTAAAGGATGCTGAAGCAGGAGAAATGAAGACTAGATAAAGGGAAGGACTGCTAAAGGACTCCTGGACTCAAGGAATTCTGAGAGTTGGCCAATATAAGCAGCACAAGTATTTTCCCTGGAGAGCTTTCAGGATAAGACCAATAAGCCCAGAACGAAATTCAATGCTCAGATTCTAGATATTTCAATACGAGACTGTACAGGTTAGGAATTTTCTTTGTGGGGCTGGGGATAAAATCCGGGTCCTTGTGAATGCTAGGCAAGTGCTCTCCCACTAAAACACACCCTCAGCCTGAGACCACTACTTTGCTTTCATCTTTGTGTATCTGTGTTTAAAATTCTATTTTTAAAGGTGTTATTATGTCTTTTTACTGAAGTGCTTCAAGCTTTCTTGGCTGCAGACGAGGAAGCAAATCACCACCCAGGAAGGAAGCCATTTTTTTTTTTTTTCTGGGGCCCTGTTTGCAAAGGGGCAGAAAGAAGGGTGAAGCAAAAGATTCTGGGACTTTGAGTGAGCCTGGTTGTCCCAGGGAGGCCTGGGGTTTTCATCACTCCTCCAGGAGGGAGAGAAGGCAGACGGCTGACCTTGAGGTCAGCCCTTAATGGTTTCTAGGGGCTGATCGGCAGGGAAGTGGAATGCTTGAAGCGTTCAGTCTTCCTGCTGGCTGTGCACCTTTGGATGCCCCTCAGACCATGGAAGATGAAACACTTCACTCCCGTGGCTTTTCTAGTGAACAGATTTTTTAAAGAAAAAGACAAACAGGTACACGATGACACATGTCCCCAGAGCAGTGGCGCTACCACTGCCTTAAGGGCAAGAAGAATGAATTCCGGAAATACCTAGAGTTCAGACTGTGGATCTTTCATTCATGAGCTAAGAGGCCTTGATCAATTTAGTCAACCTGTCCACTTCCTTTTCTTTGTAGTGATGTGATTGAACCCAGGGCCTTGCGCCACTGAACTACACCCCCAGCCCTCTAATATCTAGTAATAAAATGCAAATATTAATAGCACCCCCCTGGTAGGGTTACATTAGCAAGTATGATTAGTCAAACCATGCCCAGTCAGAGCAGGTGCTCCATAAGTGTCATCTACTCCGAAAGCCAGCCCCGCCCTGGAGGACTCTGCCACTCACCATCACCACTGCGATGCCGATGCCCACTGCACCAATGATGTGGAACTTGCTGTCGAAGACCTCTTTGATGGCCTCGGGGCAGGACTTGGGGAGGCAAATAAGACCTGGGTCACACACAATCCCCACACTGGGGCACTCCCCACCTCCAGCAGCACCTATCTCACTCTGGGAGCCCTAGTGGTCAGAGACTAGGCTGGGGATAGGTACATTCAGGGTTAAGAGATGCCCTGGCTGCTGGATGGAAAGGTGACCTGAGAGAGATATGGGAAGTGGTGCCTACAATCTGGGCACTACATCAGGGAAGGAAGAAGAGGTTTTGGGTTTCTTTCTTCCTTTCAATACTGAATCTAGGGGCACTTTACCGTGTACTACATCTCTAGCCCTTTTTATTTTTTTGTTTTGAGACAGGATCTTGATAAGTTGGCTTAGGGTTTTATTAAATTGTTGAGGCTGGTCTTGAACTTACGATCTTTCTGCCTCAGCCACTTGAGTTGCTGGGATTATAGGCATGTGCCATCATGCCCGGCTTGAGGTTTCCATTACTTTTCTTCTTTTCTCAGTGCTAGAGATGAACCAGGGCTTCACACAGGCTAGGCTAGTGCTCTGTCACTGAGCTACAGCCCCAGGCCCCTGGGGTCTCTTAAAGCAGGCATTCAAGACTCAAAAGTCATGCCAGTCCTCAACAGCTGAAGGGCTGGGGCATCAGGGGGCAGTTTTAGGTGCTCAGTGTCCACAGGGGGCTTGAGCACTTTGTGAGTTCTCTGGTCTGGTCTCTGTATTGCTCCCCTCGAGGAAAGAGCCCAGGGCAGGGGAGAGATGAGATGGTCACTCTGGAGCCCTTTTAAGTGGAAGAAATATTTACTAATTTGATTTTTATTTTATTCATGTTTGCTTTTCTTTTTATTATAATTGTAGACACCTGTTAATTATACAAATGGATGGATTTCACTATGACATATCTCCATCTACGTGTATTTCATGGACCCCTCTCCCCACCTTTGCCTCTTCCTTCCCTGTCCCTTTTCTTTAGAGTCCCTCTTCTTATGAAACACTTGGATGCCCATCCTCCTAAAGAAGACGGCCACTTCTACCCTTGAAGGACTTGCCCAGAGTGACAGGGCAGGGACACCTGAGGCTTGCTTCTAACTTTACCTTAATTTGGATAGTTTCGATAATGTCCTTTTTGGGGCAGATGTCCAAGATAAATTGCTCCACACCTCCAACGACACCACAGCAGTTCAACTGCAGAGAGAAAGCGGGAACGGCGATGAGGGACATGATCAAAAAGGTGATAAGAGGGAGAGGTGTGCTGGCTGGCACACCAAGCACGCTGCAGGCAGGCACTCTCTGAAGGCGGGCAGGAGAAGGCGGCAGGTCTGCACTCTACCTACCGCGTAGTGGATGGCTTTCAGCGTTTCCCGCTGGGGCTCGTCCTTGGTCTTGAGCTTGTTGTAGGTGTCCTTGTAAAAGTCCTGGAGTTCCTTAATCACCTGAAATGGACAGACACCTAAAGTGGTGGAGGTGGCTTTTTCACGAACTTCTTTTCAAGTACATGTTACTTGTTCACCCTCTTCAATCTTTAGCCAACAAACTCCCATGCTTGGAAAAATGTCACCAAGTAGACACACAGAAGCCACTAGCACCGCCTTTCTCAGGGCTTCTGTGGCACCGTTTACCTCCTCTACCTCTTCTAGGAACTCACTCCTCTCATTTTCCTTTTCTTTTGTACAGATTTTCAGTCCCTTTAGCTCCACTTGGTTCCTTCCATTCTACCTCTTAACTAAATGGAATCTCCTCCCGCTAACAAATTTTAAAAAAGGAAAAAAAAATCCAACTCCCAACTTGGCTGCTTCCTCAGGCTTTCCTTTCTTTTCACATAGTTGTGACTTTTGGAAAATGACTACCTTTCTGAACACCCATTTCTGCACATGTAGTGCAGGAGTTGATAAACAATCTCGTTTTTTTTTTTTTTTTTTTTTTTTTTTTAAAGAGAGAGTGATAGAGGGAGAGAGAGAGAGAGAGAATTTTTTTAATATTTATTTTTTAGTTATTGGTGGACACAACATGGTTGTTTGTATGTGGTGCTGAGGATCGAACCTGGGCCGCACGCACGCCAGACAAATGTGCTACCGCTTGAGCCACATCCCCAGCCCCCAATCTTTACATCTCATAGGTTATCGTGAGGATTAAACAGGAGAGTCATGTTAATCATGTTAAGCTGTTAGCATCGGAGCGAATATGAAGGTGTGTTTTAGCATCATGATGTTGCACCTGGGTGCATCCCTACTTAATGAATTTCTGTCCCCTTGACCCTCACCTGCACCCAACTGACAGACTAACTTCCAGCATCTTTCATAATTATCCTTTTCTATTTCTAGGACTGCACCTTTTATTGCTTGGGTAGTTCTTTTTAAAAACAAAAACAATAAAATAGGTTCCTGCCTCCAATGTCTCTTCCTTTCCCTTCCCTGCTGAACAAGACAAGTTGGCCCTTCCTAAAAATTGTGTTGATGTGGCCTAGCCTGGTCCCAAACTCTTCAGTGCTCCCTCGGGAAGCCCAAGTTCAGCTTCGCCTAAACCCCTTTTTTGCCTGAAGTCCTGTCTCTATCCACTTTTCTCCTGAAATCCCCTCTCTCATTCACAATTTAGGCCAGTGTACCCTTCTTCTTGAAGCCAGTAGAGATTCCTCTTTCTCATTCCACCTTTCCAAAATCCCAAGGGACTTCTGGATATAAATCACTCTGCAAAGCTTGCCAAACATATCTTTCTCCCACAATAGATGGCAAAGTTCCTGCAAGTGGGGACCACAGTTTGGGCATCTGTGGACCTTGCACAGTGTTTGGTATGGCACTTGGCTCATGGTGGCACCTGAACATGTTTATAGATTAGAGAAAGGAGCAAGGTATCCAGCCCCTAGAAAGCCATATTTTTTTTTTTCTTGTAGTACTGGGGATTGATCCCAGGGGTGCTCTACACTGACCTATATCCCCAGCCCTTTTTATTTTATTTTGAGACAGGATCTTTTTAAGTTTCCCAGGCTGACCCTCCTTCCCTTCTCATCTCCCCGAGCTACCAATTCTCAAATCCATACCATTGTCAGACCCAAGAGATCTTATGGGAAACACCTACCTCATCCTTGTGTGAATAGCCCCAGATGGCTGCAGCTATTTCAATGGCAAATATCACCAAGAGGAAGCCAAAGAACTAGAAGGCAAAGGGGGACAACCAGGTGAGAACAATCCCAGACAACAACAAGCCAGAAAAATCTAAGGGTGTTTTAGAATGAGTTAGAATGACAACTGTCTGGGGTACAGGCATCTGGCAGCAAAAATGAATGGCTTAGAAGGGGCAGGGAAGGATTTTCCAGACAGGAAGAGCTGTGAGACCTCTGGCAGGAAAAGGCACCCTTCCCAGAGGAAAGCGTGGGCATAGCCCGCCCCCAAATTGGTATTTATAGGGTGTTAGTTAGGAGTTAGTGAACAATAAAATACTACTGCTCACTCATAAAACCCACAAAGCTTTGGGGAAATTGAGGCAATGAATATACTCTGTGGATTTTGGGGAAGACTATCAGATTTAGGAACAACAAGAAAAAGCAAAAGTACCTGTGGATTTAGGGAAAAAAAGCAAACGTGGTCCTCAAGAAAGGGAAATACAAAGTCCTGGCATTTAGCTGCCTACGAGAAGTGATAAAATGGGATCCAGAAGGGCAGGGGAGCAATGCCTACCAGCAGGGAGGGCCCAGGGGCCACAGACAAGATGGCAGCATGGCCAGGTGGCTGGGAAGGGCCCAGGGAAGGAACACGGGAGGCCCAGGATAGCTCATGCTGTTTGGGTATCCTTTTCACCCCACCCCATTCCACCTGTTCAGTGGATTGTAGCCTGCTGAGCTTTGGGGGAGAGAAAAGGGCTAGGAGTGAGAGAGACTTACCAATCCCAACATGCACTGGGACTCTTGCACAGCCCCACAGCAGCCCAGGAAGCCCACCAGCATCATGAGGGCCCCAGCTCCAATCAGAATGTAGACTCCTGAGGGGAGGACACAGGTGTTAGCTGGGAGGTCCAGATAGCTCCCACAATCCCTTTTCTACACTTTGTGACTCCATGCCTCCTCTCAATCTTTCTGCTCCCACACCAGGGAGAGAAGTTCCCCTTCCTTGACACACAGCCTTCTTTACCTCTGCTCCTCTTTCCTCCCATCCATCACTCTTCCGGATCCTCTTATCACACCTACACTCGTACCTTACCCTAGGCCTTTGGAAGGGTCTATTAGCTCCAATACAGCACAAGACTACCCACGGGAACCTTGCTTTCTACTCAGGACACAACCTGGTCGGGTCTGCCAGTGTTCCCAGGGAGATGAGTCCTCTCGAGCTAGTTGACACAGACCCTCTACGCTTGGGCTAACCTCCTGGGACTTGGGTGAGTCCCCCACGGGACGCTGGCAGGGCAAGCTCCCAGCAGGAAGGGCTGTGCATAACCAGACATTACTGCTCTGGGAGGCCAGCTCTGCTGGGTTCCTCTTGGGGACGCCTCCCTGCCCTGCTGGTAGGAGGCCATTGGGCATGTGTAGTGAGAGACACTCAAGGGCAGATGCTGTCAACCATAAAAATGCCTTGCTCTGATGCAAAGGACACATATGTGGGTGTTAGAAGACCCTTGTTTTAGTTCCAACACTGCTGCTGTTAACTGCAGCAGTTAAGACATTTTTTTTTTTCCTCTCTGGACCTTAATTTCCTTCCCTAATTAAACAGGTTGGTTGCTAGAAATTTCAAAAGATTTAGCATACTGAAGAGATCTTATAGTTGCAATGCAGTTGCTCTAGGTTAAGAGTGAAGAGGACTCTTCCTGTTAAGGGGGGAAGTGAGTGACACCATTACTAAGTTTTCAATTTCAGTGCTAATGGAGAAGAGCCGAGGGCTGGGGATGTGGCTCAAGCGGTAGTGCGCTCGCCTGGCATGCGTGCGGCCCGGGTTCGATCCTCAGCACCACATACCAACAAAGATGTTGTGTCCACCGAGAACTAAAAAATAAATATTAAAAATTCTCTCTCTCTCTTTCTCTCCTCTCTCACTCTCTCTTAAAAAAAAAAAAAAAAAAAAAAAGAAGAGCCGAGACAGTGCAGAGGTCTCTACTCTTGCCTATGCCCTGAACAATGCAAATTCCTGGGATAGAGGAATACAGTGGAGCAGCCCTGGCCACATTCATTCCACAGCGTGCAATGATGCCCAGTGGGCCCGTCCTATGGTAATATTCTTGAGAAGCCACAGTTGTCCTGGAGGGACGACCCCTGTGCACAAACTCCCACCCTCCTCCCCTAGAAGCCCCATGGAAAAACCAGTAGAGAAGTCAGAGAAGTCACAGAGCCTATTCTCTCCCAGCTTGGGAGGGCTTCTGGCAATGTTGGAAGCACCTGTTTACTGAAATCTAGAATGACTGGGTTTGAAGGCTGGCTCTGTGATCCTGGGGAAGTCACTTAATCTGTGTGTAAGCTGTCTATCTGCAACATGGGATGGTTGGGGGTGTAGCTCAGAGGTAGAATGGGCGCTTGGCATGGGGCAAGGCTGTGGGTTCAATCCTCAGCATTGTACTTCAAGGACTATTGTGAAGATATGCAGAGGCACAATAAATACTAGCTGCTATTAATCTCAATAATACAAGTGTTGGGTAACAATTATTAATAACCACAATGATAGATTCTTTATACTCGCTGCTCTTTCCCTGTTATTCTTTAACTGAGACCAGAGAGACTTCCTTCAAGTAGGTGCTGGAAAGTAGAGAGATGTAATGTTTTCCCACAATACATAGCAGGATATGCGATGAGAACTCTCGGCAGGTGACACAGTGACTTCACTGTCCCACATCTGCAGCCTGCGCAGGGCAGAGGCTTTGCAGGCAACAGAGCATGCAATATGCCTGCAGCTGAGGCTTACGGGCAGCACTGAGCAGAATGCACACAGGGAGCGTTTGTGCCTTTCCCTTCTTCCCCACATCTGTCGTGATGTCAAGTCACGTGGGGTTACTGGCAAACCCCATGTTGTATGAATATAGGTATTGTTCCTGTGCACGCCTGGCCCAGACTGGGCAAAGGGACAGATGCAGCTTGTCTTCCAGTCATCCTCCTAGGCAGTCAAATGCAGTGGGGCCACAGACTGGCCTTGGGAAGGCCGTGCAGCTCAGACACAGGGCACTGGGGAGGAGGGTAGCCTCCCTCTGTTCTTGGTCCTAATATGGGGACACCAGGAGTAAGGCAGTAGGATGGCCCCAGGTTCTTCTCATCTCACTGGGGCAAGACAGCGAAGGATGAGGTCACTCCTTTGAGCTCCAGAGCAGGGGATGAATAAAGGGGGGTGGGGTATTAAGAGATCAAAAGGATTTACAAGCACATAAAACACAGCCGAGTAGGAAAGAATACACAGCCGTGTTTTCTCTAAGTCCATATCCCAGTGCAGAAGTCTGGTGACCCTGGCAGAAGCTGGGACAGTTGGGTCAACAGGAAGTAAATTATGCAAGGGAAGAGCATTTCCTATGCAGAGAGAACATTCTCTTAATGGGTCTCTGGGTTAATATTAAATATTCATTCTACAGCTCTGCAGAGGGAGATTTGAAAATAAAGGATCTTGGTTGGCTTTAAATCTTTCTTGGGCAGCTGAAGATCCAGAGGTCCTTGCATTAGCCCCTTTTGGGTGGGGGTGAAAACCAGCGGCCCTCAGCAGCTGTCCCTGAGCGTTTTAGGAGCGGTCATCAGGCTCTAGGGTGGCCCATCTGTAAGCAGGGAAGTTCTCCCTCCCAAGCAGACATGGAACCACGGCAGGGCTTGGCTAGCTTCTTCAAGGGACTGTCTGTCCAGTGCTTCCCTTTCAGAAAGCTACTCACAGTCTGAACCCAAGCTTGTTAGCAGAGGCTGGTAATGAGAAATGACAAAGTGTTCCCCTTTATAAAGCAGTGAATGTTAGCTTTCTGTCTGACTCATGGAAAAAGTTGTTCGTCACAGGGCTTTCTTGAGCATTACCATGTTAAATTGCTTAAGGGTTGTTTGTTTTGCCTTTTTTTTTTTTTCAGGCTGACATTATAGGCCTAGACAAAAAAAAAAAAAAAAAAAAAAAAGAGACTGGTGTGGCAATGGCATGAGTGCCAAGGTGTCCTTTACATAAGAAACAGGGCATTCTTTCCCCCTGTCTCAGGGCTCTCAGTTCAGCTCAGGCTAGAAGAGCACACATCAGTCTCCTACATGGCCTTAATCTACCTGGCAAACAGCGTTTCTCACTTCTGTTTGTGGACAGAACACAACTCCACCAGAGCCTTTGGACTCCACTGGCTTAAAACAGTTATTATCTCTAAATAACTCAATTGGGGGTTCATAGACACCCTAACTCTGTCCTTCAAGGCTCTTGATTCCTCTCCCTCTTACGAATGGCTGTTTTCATGAACATGCAGCACAGTGGAATTCAATTTGCTGAGGACGGTAACTCTGTAGTGAGGCACCTGTGTGCAAGCTGGGCCAGTTTCAGGTAGGGAAAACGAGGCACAGAGCAACCAAACAAAGTGCTGCATGTTCCCCAAACCATCAGGCACCTACCCATAAGCAGGGGATGGTCCCAGGGAGGGGTGGACCTTCATGGCCTCTAGATGGAACCCCCCTGGATTCCCTCATTCAGTGGCCACGGTTCTGGAAGGACACCAAGGAGTTAAGAAGAGCTGCTGGCCTGAGACCAAAAAAATGAAGTTCCCCAACATGTTTGCAGCCTGGGATTATGGATACTGCTGACGGGCTGAATCTCCCAGGGCCTGAATTGGAGAGAAGGCCCATATAAGGTTGTCAGCTGTTCTGGACTTACTATGACCTGTTCTGATCGTCGGAAAGTGTCCCCCCCAACCCCCTTGCTTCTTTGCCTGGTTGCGTACTCTTTCTCTACATTGTAAACTGTGCCCCTCTGAAAGGAAAGACACCCTGGGTCATTAGGGTTTTCTTAAGAGTCAGCTACATGGTGAAACTGTGGGTGGCCCTGCAGACAGTTATGCCACAGTGCAAGGGACAGTCACCCCATGATGTCAGGACAGCAGCCAGGGTGTAGCTGGCACTCTTAGCTCATCTGCTGGGAGGGAGGCTATGAGTTCACACACAAGGCTGGTCTCAGCCCAGTGGGGAAGGGGACACAGAGAAGCAGCCTCCTTGGCCCTTTGCCCATGGATAACAATTATTCAGTTTCCCCAAGTATTCAGTGACAGACACAAAGGCAGGACCCAGCCAGAGGCTGAGCTTGAGGATATTCTAGTGTCGCTTGCCCTGGTTCTTGGGAGTCTAGAAGCAGAATCTTCTTCAAGATTCATAGACCTGTTTTGCAGGCAAGCAGAGCTAATGCAACAGCAGCTCCTAGACCTCAGGTAGGGAGTGCTGTGCCTCTGGAATTATGTCTTTAAATAACCTTCCTGGTCACTTCAGGTAGGCCCACTGGCCACCAAGGACTCCTGTAGTGACCCGCAGGATCTGAACCTTTGGAGCTTTTGGAGGCCAGCCTGGCTCCTGTCAAGCAAGGCGTCAGGAGAGTGTGGTCATCACATCTGGTGTGACTTTCCCACCTGTGTCCCACTGGCTAGGGCCACTGGAATGTGGGTGCTTCTCCCCTGATCACAATTTGTGTGATGTCAAAGAACCTCATTCCATCCCCATCAAAGGGAAGCGTTCAGTCAGTGCAGATTTTTTTTTAATTACTGCATGGGGAGTTCCCCCACAACCTATACAGAGAATCCAAGAAGCAACCCAGGTTTGAGCTTCACTCCTGCCTTTTGAAAACCAGGAGCTTAGATAGCTATTCGAGCCTCTTCATCTGTGAGGTGGGACCCATTCCCTGCTCCTCACAGAGTTATGGGAATGCACCTGGGTCACAGTTTAATAGGAGGTGTAGGATTGTGAATGACACACTAGGAAGGGGCTCAAAAATGCCAATACCCTCCTCCCACATCTAAAAACATGTGGAATTAGCCTAAGAGTTCTGAGTCATCAAAAGGAAATCCGGGGTGGTTGGGAACAGCCAGGACAATGCGGGAACCTTTTCTGGGACACACATGGGAAACCTGTGGGGCTTTTGCTTAGGAAAACGCCCTGAGGTGCTGTATGTTCCTGCTCAGGGCTCCCTCGTGTGCCATGGCAAGGAGTGTGAAGGATGTCCCCTTAGTACCACACTCCCTGCTCCTCTGTGCAAGTGTCCCCTCTGGTCCCCACCCCCTCCTGCTCTACAGGGTGGCATTCCAAGCCTGCCTCAGACTCACAAAAATGCTCTGTTGCTAAAACAAGTCAGGGCACTATGGAAACCTGCTCCCTAAAAACTGTGTGTATAGTTAAAAAAAAAAAATACATTGGGCTTTTCTTCGACTTAGTTCTTTCTGACAATGGGAACCACACCCAAAAAAACCCCCAGCTAACAACAATGAAAAGCAGGAAAACTATTCACAGAGCTGCGGCTAGGCAAGCAAATGCGCTGTTTCTAAAGACCCCTTTTCCTGCCTAACTGGTTTCAGCCAGGTCTTGGGGAGACGGGCAAGGGAAGGTCAGTGTGACTGGCCAGCCATGGCCATCTTGTTCCTAGAGCCTGGGAGATAACCCTCATCGGTCTGCTTTCTCCGTCTTTTGCAAAAATAACTTTGGTGGGTGGGAAGGAAGTGACCAAACTTACACTTTGAGCCTGATGACATGACATGACAGCATCATCCTAAAAATAGGAAGCTTCTTTTGTTAGAAAATAAGATGGTTCCCACCCCAAACTCCACATGAAGTAGAACCACAGAGTCTGAGTTTACTTAGAAACTGGGAAGTTTCACTTGACAGGCTTTGTCTCCTTTCTCTTTAGAGGACCCGCAACAAGGGGGAGAGAAGGATACTAGAAAAAATGCCAGGGAGCTTGTGTGGAGAAAGGATCACACACCCTTCCCCTAAAGGAAAAGCAATTTAGAAAATGACAACAAAATTAAACCAAACACCATGGCATTTACCCAAGCACCAGGGTCCAAAGGACCTGAGTAGAGTCTTTCCTATTGTTTATTAAATGGTTCTGGGGATCACACCCAAGCTAGGTACATGCTCTACCACCAAGATACACCCCCAAGCCTCCCCTAATATTACCTAGGAATCTGTCTTCCTCTGGGTCTGAGTCCCTATCCAAATAGTGGGGAGAAGAGCCACCCATTCTCTCCTGGTACTGCATAAAAAGGACAAAGGTTTCTGAGTTAAGAAAATGATGAAGTCTAAGAAGACATGTAATTAGAAGAGAGTTATCAGGGATGTGAATGGAGGTTCACAAACCCTCAAGAGTGGTAGCAACTTTGCCAAAGCCAACTGCACATCAGAGAATGGTCAAAATGCCAAACTCAGCCAGCATGAAAAGAAACCACATCAGTTAGATGCAAATTCATGAGCACAACTCTCCACACAAAAACACTGTACAACTTGAAAGGGACAGGGCTGGCTCATTTGGCCTGAGTCTTTCCCAGGTCCAAGTTCCTGGGTCCATAGGGAGTCTCCAAAGTTGGAAGAAGCACCACAGTTTTCCCTCCTCACCTGTGTAGAAGCTGGAATGATTAGCTTCTTGCTCGAAGATGCTCTTGGTCTGAGAGTCAAATCGGAGCCATAGTCCAATGGCAAGGACTGCAATTCCAGCAAGCTGCAAGATAATGAAAATGGTGATAATCCTGGCTGCCAGGGAAAACAGTCCCCAAATGCTGAAGGACAAAGGTCTCTGAATTAAGAAAATGATGAAGCCTAATAAGACTTAATTGGGAGAGAGCATGGGGACTTGCAAAAGACTTGGGACCACCTTTGGTCTCTGGCCCTCACGTGCACCTGGTAGTAGAAGTCATGGGGTGTGTGTGATCAATCCATGTGCCAAAAATATCAGCAAGCTGAGAATAAGCCATTACCTACTAGCAAAACAGCCTGGGTACTTTATAGGCAATAAAATACTATATAGCTCTGAAGACTAATAACTACAGCTACATGCACTTCAATGAGTGAATCTCACAATGAACAAAAGCAAGAGCCACAAGAATTCATACAATATGATTCCATAGTTAAAATTATACTGTAATTATTGCACATAAAAATGATAAAGGAAAAATAAGAAAGCAATGATCATAAAGAAAGTGGTGTTCTCTAGTAGAGGGAGGGATTTATGCTCAGGGATGAGCACATGGTGGGTGGGTAGGTGGGTGTCTAGAAGGCTGGCAGTATTTTCATTCACTCTACAATGTTGCCTAGGTTGGTCTCTAACTCCTGGGCTCAAAAGATCCTCCTGCCTCAGAAACCTGAGAAATTGGGAGGTGCGCTTCACTGTGTGCAAAGTGTAATAATCTCATTTTTTACTTGGGTGTTGGTTACATAGATATGCACACACAAATGCCCAGGGAGACCACATTACTTAGCAAATGACATATCCAGAGTTTGCTCTTGCTTATCCACATCAGTCCTTAACTCATGAGTCCAGATCTTGGCCTGGCACTGTTGAAGCAGATGCTATGGAGGTGGCCTCCTGTCAAACCCCTGCTCCCAGTGGCAGCTGAGCTCCCTCACTGCTCGTACCAGGGCTTCCCCGGGGAGTGATGCGCGGCCAGCTGAACTTGGGAGTGGGACCAGGTTTGGGTAGTCAGCCCACCTAAATGGAGGCACATTTAAGTCAGAGCCCTGCTCTCCAGGGACCTTGGTTGTCTGTCCTCTTCCCCCCCTCTTCTTTTCTCCATGCAATGGCAGTGAGTCTGGACATGCTGGGGGGAAAGTAGAGATGGTGGCAGTGGGAAGGACCACTCAGCACCTCAGCCTGCAGTGGTCACAACCTTGCCTGCACCTGCCGTGGCAGAAGCTGATTTGGCCTCATCACCGAGTTCCTACAATGCAGGTCTGTTAATTCTCAGTTTAAGTTCTATTGCTTTAGGTTTCCCATCAATAAAATAGGAATGGAAAGGTGTGGCTCTCCCTTGCCTTTTAAGTATGTCTAAAGAATACAGGAGATTATATTAGAACGAGTCCTTCTGAAGGATGAGACACGGAATGGGCTTTGGTGAACAACGCGATCTTCTCAGCACGAAGGTCAATCGACATGGCACCTCCAATCTGTGGCCAGTCAGCATCTTCCCACACCTCTCAGTCCCTACCTTAAGTAAGGCAATGCCAAGCATCAGTAAGAATGACACAAAACCAAGTGCCCTGCAGCTGGACGCTGTGGAAGAGAAAAACTCATGGGTGCCAGGTCTGAAGGGGGTAGAAGTCCTAGAGTTAAAAGAACCTGAGGGTTCTGGGGTTAAGGACACAGGTCAGATTTTCCTTTTTATTATTAAGTCATGAAGGTGACTTTAAGTCATGAAAGTCTCCCAATCTAATCCAAAGATAGCAGAAGATCTCTTCATGATGGAGAAGGAGTCTCAACCTCTCTGGACTCAGGCTGGATATTCTCCTCTCTCTGGCAGCCAGAGCACTAGGAGGTGGGGCCCAGCTGGGGGCACCTGAGCTAGCAAAAGTGTGTGGCCCAACCCCCATACACAGGATACCAGATAAGCACATGGTGGGTCTGGGCTCTGTGGATGGGCAGGCCCTGGTGGCACAGGTCCTCCTCTGGCCTTTGTCCTCAGCAGTCCTGTTGTGAAAATGCCTGGACCTGGGGCCAGCAGTGCTCCTGACCTTTCTTCTCTAGGCTAGTGCACACCAAGGACTTATTCCCAAGTCATCTTACCCCATTGTTGAGTGAAATTATTCACCCATCTCTTATCAGTGAGGAAAATTCCAAAATAGGAAAAGAATGAAAAGAATTCCATGCTCAGGGACAAAGCAGCAGAGGATGGCATAAAGCTGCCCTCCGCATAGAAGCTTCCCAAGGGCAGCAGCTGG